TCAAAAAGAATCATGCTCAATTGCTCATCCCACGTATTTAGATATTATAATGGAGTTAGGTATACTTGAAACCGGCCTAGAGAACAAGTAACTCTTGCTTTGCTTAAAATCATCCGTAACATCTCTTCCACAGTCTCAAATGAAGAATCAGACAATGATAGGATTTTTATATGAATGGATTTTACTAAAATGCATTTATGGTTTTGAAGATGACTAACTACATTTGGTTTAATTATGACTAGTTATGGTGCACGATTTGCATGCGTAATACAAAACTTGAGGGAGAGTTGTAATCAAATTGTCAAGGAAACGGATATAATTTTGAATGTTTTTTCCTTGATTTTGTTTTAGACTTTTTCAAGTTTAAGGGTATTTCTTGATTTTTTTTTCCAAGAATATATTCCCATTGATTTTGTAGTGTGACAGAATTTTTGTTGATGTTTTGAGTGTGAGAGAATATTGAGATAAATGATAAATTAAATGTACCTAATTGTAATTCTACCTTTGTTGTATGTACACCCTCATTAGGGTTTGGTAGTATAGGTATATATAGGACCTTTGTAACTTTGTTCATTATTCAATAGGGTTGCGTTTGGGAACCTGGATTTGGACCCTGGATTTGGACCCTGGATTTAAAATTCAAGGTATTTCAAATTTAAATCTCTAGTTTGGATTTTTACTTAAGCTTAGATTTCAAATCAAATCATTTGAGAGATGAGAATTTGACAGCCCAAATACACAGCCTCACCCTTGGTATTTACCAAATCCCAATCCCGACTCCTCCTCTCTCTCATTTCTCAGTCCCCTCGATCCAAATCTCCTCTCTCCCCTTCTCCTCTCTCGTCGAACCCTAGATCTGATCGTCTCCCCCTTTCTCCTCTCTCCCCGTTCCATCGAAACCCTAGCTCCGCCTCCTCCTCCCCCGACGCTGTCGCGCAGGTACGCCTCCGGGAGGCGGAGGAGAGGCTGCGCGAGGCGATCCAGGAGCTCCAGCGCCACCACTCCCGGCGAGGCTCCGGCGAACACCCCGCCTGCGACCACGCCGACGAGTCCTGCATCGCCCACGCCATTGGAAACCTATGCCAGAGCTTCCTGCTCTCCTATGGAGTTAGGGTTGGGGTCGGGATCCTCCTCCGAGCGTTCAAGCTCGCCAAGCGACGGTCGTACTCGTCGATGCTTGATCTCAAGGTGTAGGCTGTCTAAAAATCACAAAAGATAGCTTATCCCCCATCAAACACCGATGATGGACGTCACAATCTGACGACTTCCAGAAGACTACAATTCGAAGACTTTCACGTAGATCGCTGAAGGTTACAATCTGACGACCTTCACGACAACCGATGAGAGCTCTACTTCAACAGCCTTCACAATCAACATCGGGAGTTACAATCTGACGACTCTCATATTCT